TTTTTTCAGAAAATTAATTGTTTATAATAAAAATCAATAAAATTAAAACAGTCGTAGTGACATTTTCCATAATAAATAAAGATATTTTCTGCGTAAACTTGTGTATTTACTTTATTTTTTGTATGGAATTATTTATACAATGATATTTAATTATTTTCTTACAAAGAATTAACTTTTTTATTTCACTTTAATTAAAAAAAAGGCCAAACATAGAGTTATTAAATTATTACACTCCAATTAGGTGAATTTCCCCAGAGCTATAATGTACAGAAAGTACCGGAAAACGGCGTTTAGCTAGGTTTTCGAATTTCGTGAATAATTTAAAACTTTTTTCATGGAACATTTTTTTCAGAAATTACATGTTTCACTGTTATAAAATGCAGATCAAATGCTTATATGTGAATTAAATACAGATCTAACCCTCTTTGGGTCATAATTTGAAGGGTCTTACTTGTCTGCGCGAAAAAAGTTAGACGTAATTCCTGCTTCCGGTACACGGGTTTTAGATTCTACAAATCTCGTTCTCAAAGATGACGTCACGTATTTGAAATTCATCATGGCCGACACTGTCAAAATTATGGTAGGCTGCTTAAAATGACGGACTTTGCACTGTAAAACATTTGTCACACACAAAATATCATTCATTGCAATATTGACCAGTCTAAAATAAATCCATTTGAACAATCTTATGTGATGTGAATCCTGTAACTTTTAGGAAATACCCGTTCATTTGTAAACATTTGACAGGTCAACACAACAGGTGGTTGTTATGATTATTTTTAAGAAATCGAACACAACTGCCATTAGAAGATTCCTTAAGATGCATGATCGTTATAAGAGTCCTTTTAAATTCATTATAATTAATGATCTTTCTTGGTTATCGCCAAATTTTGACTTATGTCCACTCCATGATGTTTAGACAAAGACCCTAACCCCTGGATCCATCACTGGTTAATTATCAGATTATCGGGACCACTGTTACAATCTGCCCGCAGCAAAATACTTATCATAACCCCGTAATCTTTAGTGATTTTGTAGAGAAATAATATGAAAAAGGCAAAGCCTCAAAGCGAGCTCGATTTTCTTTTACTGTAAGATAGTTTAAAATAATCGTTCATTTTTATTTTACATTTTCCGTTTTAAAATTGTCATTCGGTATTTTATACACTGCCTCCGTTTATTCTGGTTCCCCCTTTTTATTATGGTTCCTATATAAGTGCGCAGGACACCAGTCAACGCTTCCGTTTTCAATCAGAGTACATCGGCTTTAATCGTTATCTTGTAATTTGAAAAGTTGCGATGTGTCCTATTCGATACTTCGGACGAAAGTTTTCAAAACCATCACTTAGCAGGTACTCGCGTTACCGTAAAGCTTGCTTTGCGAGCAGGCACTTCGGGCCAGCTCGTCGAGCTAGCTATAAATATTGAAGAAATAATATAGGGTCAAATGATAAGGCAGTGGCAAGCCATGGCATAAGGCCGGTATTTCTGCCATACATGACATACATACCACTAGCCATTTATACAGAATTTATTTTAGTTTGATTGTGTAGGAAGCGATAAGCTTATAGACACACTTTCGAAACCGTTCCTGGAACCAACTAGTACTGAGCAATGAGTGAGTCTCCCCTACTCAACTGAAAAATGTTGGGGATTTGAAAAAAATGGGGGAGGGGACATGCATTTACCCAACAATATGACATACAGAAAAGAATTCATTTATTTCACTATTTGGCAATTTTTGACAGCTATCGTCTGCTCAACAACAGAAATCGAAAAGTAAAATATTGACAAATACTAGTAAACAAGGACTGCGTTCAGGGCGAAGTGGGGCGAAAACTTCGCCTTAAATATTTTCACTTCGCCCTATATGATCTGAAAAGCGAAATACTAGTTGCCCTAAAATCTCTATGAATTGTCTGACAACTCTATAATACTGCCTCGAGGCAGATTTAATTGTGTTATCTGACGTAATTAGCACACGCGCTGAAGCGTGGCCATAGCGACATTTGGAATTCACACTTGGAAATCCACATCACTAAAAATAGCGCATTGATTATACAGTAAATTAAAGCTGTGAAAGACCCTGATATGAATGCAGCAGATGATAAAAAGCTAGCTAATTGATAATTAAGTTACCTCAAACGTATATTTTTGTCTTATTTACAATATCCCCTGTACGTTTTGTTTGATTTACAATATTTCCCTAACATTTTGTTTGATTTACAATTTCCCCTATATGTCCTGTTTGATTTACAATATCCCCTATACGTTTTGTTTGCCTATATGTTTTGTTTGATTTACAGTATCCCATATACGTTTGCCTATCACCTTTACTTTTAAGAATTAATTAATTGCATTTAAAAGTTAGAGTCAGAAACTGTTGAACCTAAAAAAAATTTAAAATGTTGTGTTGATGTAATGTTGTGTTGATGTAAATCAAATGCGTAAATAAACTTTATTGAGCAACTAGTACTTCATTAAATATCATCATAGCGATTTTTCAAATACACATTTGTTTATTTTCCGTGCCATATGCATGTATATTTTATATGCATGTACATATAAAGGTGTACATGTATATTTTGTGAAATAAAATAAGAAAAAAAATCGAATGATATAACTCGATTTGATGATCAATTCTCCCTAAATTTCAAAACTTCTCCCTATTTTTCCTGAAGGGAGAAGTCACTTCTCCCTAAATTTTCAAGTCCACGGTAGTCCCTGGAAAAGTGCACATTTCAACAGTCAATACATGACCCAGCTGTTTCATGAGATTTAGTCATTACAGGGAGTGAAAACAAACATGGCAGAAGCGTTCAAGATATGACGAAGATTAACTAAATTAAGTTAAAAAGATGCAGTCGACATTGTATTAAGAGACCACTCAAGGGACTGCCAAAAAGTGGTCTCTTAATAAAGTGGTCTCTCAATAGAATTCTGGAAAATTCGAGACTTTTTATTACAAGTCATAGATATAATAACATCTTTTTTATAAAAACAAAAACTATACAATATTATGTATGAATTACCGTTTTATAATTACATTTATGCCCTTTTTTAAAAAAAAGTCATCAATATTGTTTGTTTTTGATTTTTAGTAGAAAGTGTACAAATGTGATTTACGCTCATAATACTGTAAACAGGTCATTTTGACCATGATACAAGCATATTGTCTTATATTTTTAATATGTTCATACACATCTCCTGCTGACATACTTTAGAATCATCAGCCAGAGCTCCAGATAATTATTTATGCAATGAGTTTTAATAAACTTCTTGATTTTTTTCAACAATTAGTTTTCACACTACCCCGATTTCAAATTCAATAAGATTTTTAGAGATCTAGGATTTTTTTGCCTTTTTTTTGTCGAAGGGTCATATTTAATGGGATACTACATGTATTTTGTAAAGCATCAGATGAGCACCTACAACCATCAGCAATGAAAGGCTCGGCTCTGTAATGTTTAGTCTACTAGGTTTCACGATTTCATTTCGACTACAATCGATGACATTTGCTATTTACTCAGACTCAATTCCATGCACGATTTCCTCATACAATTTATCCGGTCTTATTAGTTGTCTGTCTTTTTTTCGCTCGATCCGACATCATTTTCGATAAGGGAGGTCACTCTCAGCACATGACAAAACTATGCAAACTCGGTGTTGTGATACGTTATTGCTCTGACAAAATATGTCACAATAAATATTACGATCGGAAAATCCGATTTTGAAACGATTGCAATTGTTATTCATTTCGTTTTTAAACGACAATTATTTGTGACCAATGACCATGAAAATTATTTGTTTGTTTGCTTGTACACATCTAACCTACTCGCTAATTACACAGGTGAGAATGCCCGCAGGGACAATTGTTTGTCACGGCCGTTTAATAGATACTTTAACAATTAATTTTGTACATTTGGGCCGACATTCAGTGGCCGCTGGCCGCGATATAAAATAGTCGTTTAATGGAATTAAATTAAATAGTAAAAATCATCGGGAGGGATTTTATGCGACCGCTTAATAAAAAAGTCGCTTAATAAAGGTGGCCGCAAGTACGATGCCGACTGTGGTTAGATGTGCGACTTGGCGCGCATTGATTGACATCATTAAAATGTGCGATCTGGAAAAAAATATGCGCAAGTCACGCAATCGCGCGGCCTAGATGCAACACTGGCCAATACGTACTGTTGAGGCTAGCCGTCTGGAATACTAAAATAAATAACCTAAAACAATAATGAATGTGCAAACTTGTGTTTTTAAAAGAAAATTTTATTGAATGTCATGAAAACTTTATCAATTACAGTAGATCTAGTTTTATTTTCAGCGTCTGATGATCGGTAGTCTTTTTCTTCTGAAAATACAAAAAGAAATAAACTTAAACATTATTAAATCTTTTTTATAGAATATATTAATAAGTTTAAGAGTCATTGTTTACTTTTATGAAATGAATCAGCTACATAACACATCCGTGGAAACAGGTGTACAACATGCAGCCAGGTCAATAATTTTGAGTTCCCCACCCCAGATTCCTCTACTACCTAAGAAAAGATTTATATCTTTGATATACAAATGATATTTAGTATGTGTTTTATTCAATTCATTTTTAAGGGTTAGGTTCTTGTTACTAATCACCATAATTTTGAGGAAACCAGGAGATAAACTCAATGGATGCTAAACTAGACCCTTGTCTTTAACATTAATAAGTACATGTATATATAATTAACTATCATTCAGTCATGTCTATAAACTGGCAAGGTGTTGAACATTTATAAGGAAATAGATATAGATATTAAACTGTATTGTATATTTTTCAGGTGTCAAAATATGATATAAAGAAAGAAAGAATCAAAGTTTTTAGACATTTGGGTGCTTCAGACTTGCATTTAAAAACAGTCTTGCTTACGGTTATTGGACTGCTAGCCCAATTTATCCAAGCACCATGGCGACATGAACTCTTTTCTGACTTTGTGCTAATGTGACGACACAGGATACAAGAAAGCGACAACAATGTTACGAGGTGATGTCAAGGTTTAGTGATCCACGAAGCTCCCTGTCATGTGAATGATATGGATGCACTGGTGGAAAGGTTTGACAGCTTGGGTAACCTGCAGCAACTACAAGGTAAGTTCTAATGTTCTTTAGGAAAGTTGTTTACTAGCAAATTTAATACTTTGATCACCCTTGATTGGTAATGCTTCATTCTTCCAGCTTATTTTATATTGATAGCAAAAGATTTTGATTAAAGTTTTGAGTATCATTTGGAGATAGTTTAAAATGACATTATGTCCATACAAGTGTCAATTGCTGATACATGTAAAGATAAAAAGTCAAAATATCTTTATATTTTGCCATAATTGTTTTCGATTTTATATTTAATAAGCAAGATAACTCGCATAACACAATGAAATTACTTTACATAGCATCTGGAATTTATTGGTAAATGTCACATTGATTAAAAGAGAGGGACGGTCTTTTTGCTGTTATTAACTCACCTGTCGCAAAGTGACATGGTGAGCTTTTGTGATCGCTTTTTGTCCGTAGTAGGTCTGTCTTCCGTCCGTCCATAAACTTTTACTCTAAACGACATCTCCTCGTAAACCACTAAGCCAATTTCATCCAAACTTCACAGGAATGTTCCTTTGGTAGTCAACTTTAAAAATTGTTCAAAGAATTTAATTCCAAGCAGAACTCTTGTTGCCATGGCAACTGAAAGGAAAAACTTGGAATATCTTCTTTTAAAAAACCAAAAGAGTTAGAGCTTAAATATTTCGCATGAAACGTCATATAATGGGTGTCTACCAAGTTTGTTCAAATAAGGGCCCTTTGGTTAAAATTGACCCGCCCCAGGGGTCATTGATTTTCCTTATATGTATATAGTAAAAACTTAGGAAATCTTCTTAATAAAAACCTTAAGAGCTACAGTTTAGATACTAAGCATGAAATATCTTGTAGTGAGTGTCTACCAAGTTTGATCAAATAAAAGCCCTGGGGTCAATATTGGCCCCTCCCAGGTGTGGGGTTATTGTTTTCCCATATATATATATGTAAAAACTTAAAAAATCTTCTCTTAAAAACCCCAAATAGCTAAAGCTTAGATATTTATCATGAAAAATCTTCTAATGGGTGTCTACCAAGTTTGTTCAAATAAAAGCCCCTGGTTAAAAATTGACCTTGGCCCAGGGGTCTATATACAGGTGAGCAATTTCAGGGCCATCATGGTCCTCTTGTTTTGTAGTTTTATTTATTTTTCCTAAGCATTATTAGCAATTACTGGTCAATGAATGTCTGCTAAGAGATAAATTTATTTTTAATTTGTGGATTTAATATTAACAGGAATGTTATTTCATATAAGCACATTCTAATTAGAGATAATTACTTTCAAGTTCTCATAACATGTAACATGATTCATTTCCTTAAACACTGTAAGTGGCTTAAGTGCTTGTTCATACCAAGATAAGTTAGATAACCTCACTGTGTGCTGGAACTGGGAGAGGTTAACATCCTTTGCCATAGGTATAGATCCATCCCAGCCTGCAAATATGTGTTGTCTGATTTATTTATTTCTATCACATATGACAGTGACAAAGAAGTCTTGACTATTTAAAGCTATTGATAAAATACAAAATGGTAAAAAAGTTTGTATTTTTAGAGTAATATGATGTTGAGCTTGAACGAGCACCTGTGTTTTTTTCAATGTTAGGGAAATTGGTGACAGGGCCCATAATGAGAGGGGGAAATTGTATCGCAGAGGGTGAGAAAGGAAAATTTAGAAACAGAAAGAACAGTCCATTTTATGTCAAACTAAGACAAAAAAACCAATATATTTTTTTTTTAAATATAACAATGTCCTTCACTGCCCTACTGTAATGACAAAATGGTTCTCAAAAAGATTGTTTTCTTTACTTTTGGAATGGATTATTTTCTGAAATATGGGGAAATATATACTTATTGTGGAGGAGAATGGGATTGAAATTATGGGGCTGAATTTCTGTCCAAAATTGAGTACTTATATTATATTGATCTTTTTGAAAACTGTTGCATGTCTCAATGGATTTATTCAGGTTGATACAATTATGTTCATCATGCTAAACACTGCAGATGAAATTGATTTCCTACAATACATGAGGCAATATTCATCTGTTATTATCAGCTGTACTGGCAGCTAAATAAATATTGTTTCTTTGGTTACAAATAACGATATTGTAAATATATCTGATAGTCTTTTTTTTATATGTTTTTCTGTATTTTTTCTCCTTAGCAATAAATGTTAAGGGCTATATTGTTTTTTTGCCCTGTCTGGAGACAGACAGCCATTTTTATTTGATAAGCAATTTTTTTGGATAAACAATGTACGGTAACTAACAGTACCACTAAGATTATTATGATATTTTAATGTTAGGCTACAAGATAGTTAAATAGAAAACTAGATAGATAAAAATAGTGAAAAATGTTGAAAATAATCTTTGATTTTCTTACTCAGAAGCAATGTTCATTTCTCCAGGGGTGTGTCTGTATTGGTATTTGTTGTGACGGCGGTATTGAGCTATATCATTTTACAGCTTTACTGTGTTGTGGCTATCTGCCGTAGCATGTTTTATTAATGTATATATTGTAATTGAAGTGAAATAACACAATATATAGCATATGGAAGATATTGAGAATGTGGTTGAAAAAGTGTAATTTGCCATGAGAGAAATAAAAAAATAGAATATTCGTGTTGTGAATGATAAAACTGTATTAAGAGTGTTTTATTGGATTATTGATTGACCAAGTTTCATTCTTTGGAATATAAAATTCCTCAGAAAACATTGCGCAATGCACAATGGTTTATGAGATGGGATTCATTGATTTTTTGGGCAACAGTAGAGTAAATGCTTGTGGAGCAAATTGTTTTGGTGTTCCTGGTTACATGATGCAAAAAGAAAGTACAAGTTTATTGACTGATAAAGTCCTACATCATATCTTGGTAAGGAAATTAAGGGGTTGTTATAGGTGCCTGCCCAAAGCATATCTGGAACAATTAATGGAATCATATCTGATTAAAGTCGGCTCCTAAATAATGCTACATGAAAAACATGGAAAAAAATTAAATTTAAATTAATATTGGGTAGCTAGTATTCACCAGTGTTAAGTTAGGAAGTTGCCATTCATTCTGACTGCTGCATGGACATGCAAATAGACCTGGCTTTAAACTGGTGTCCTAGGACAGTTAAATCAATGAAATGAAATTTTCCATGGAGCATATGCTAGTATATACTTCCTTCTGTGTACCTGTTACAGTTTCTCTTTGTTTCTTAATAACACCTTGATCTATTGATTTTTTTTTGCAACCGCCTCCATGGTCGAGGGGTTAGAGTCGATGACTTCTAATCCAGCTACCTCTCTGGCATGGGTTCGACCCCCGGGAGATGCTTTGGTAGTTTAGCGCGGAGGAAGGTAGTCTAGTACTGGTGTAACTCTCCAGGAACGATTGTTAGGAAACTTATAACCCACCGATATGACTGAATACTGTTGGAAAAAGGTGTAAAATGAAACAAACAAACAAACAAACAAAGACTGATTTTTTAGCCCACCTGAGCACAAAGTGCTCAAAGGTGAGCTTTTGTCATCACTCTGCGTCCGTCGTGCGTCGTGCGTCCTTCAAAAAATGGCGTCAAACTTTTCAAACAACATCTCCTCCTAAACCACATGGCCAATTGCAATCAAACTTTACAGAAATGATCCTTAGGTGGACCCCTTTCAAAGTTGTTCAAAGATTTAAATTCCATTAAAAACTCTGGTCGCCATGGCAACCAATAAGAAAAACTTAAAAAATCTTCTTCTAAAAAACCCTAAGAGCTAGAGCTTAGATATTTGGCATGAAACATCTTCTAATGAGTGCCTACCAACTTTGTTCAAATCAAAGCCCTGGGGTCATAATTGGCCCCGCCCCAGGGGGTCATTGATTTTCCCTATATGCATATAGTAAAAACTTAAAAAATCTTCTTTTATAGAACTCAAAGAGCTAGAGCTAAGATATTTAGCATGAAACGTGTTCTAATGGATGTCTACCAAGTTTGTTCAAATAAAAGCCCTGGGGTCAAAATTGGCCCCGCCCCGGGGGTCATTGATTTTCCTTATATGTGTATAGCAAAAACTTAAAAATCTTCTTTGAAAAAACCCAAATAGCTAGAGTTTAGATATTTAGCATGAAACATCTTCTAGTGAGTGTCTACCAAGTTTGTTCAAATAAAAGACCTGGGGTCAAAATTGGCCCGCCCCAGGGGGTCTTTGATTTTTCCCTATATGCATATAGTAAAAACTAAAAAAATCTTCTTTTAAAGAACCCAAAGAGCTAAAGCTAAGATATTTAGCATGAAACATCTTCTAATGAGTGTCTACCAAGTTTGTTCAAATAAAAACCCTAGGGTCAAAATTGGCCCCGCCCCAGGGGGTCATTGATTGTCCCTATATGCATATAGTAAAAACTTAAAAAATCTTCTTTTAAAGAACTCAAAGAGCTAGAGCTAAGATATTTAGCATGAAACATGTTCTAATGGGTGACTACCAAGTTTGTTCAAATAAAAGCCCTTGGGTCAAAATTGGCCCCGTCCAAGGGGGTCATTGATTTTCCTTATATGTGTATAGCAAAAACTTAAAAAATCTTTTTTGAAAAAACCCAAATAGCTGGAGTTTAGATATTAAGCATGAAACATCTTCTAGTGAGTTTCTACAAAGTGTGTTCAAATAAAAGACCTGGGGTCAAAATTGGCCCCGCCCCAGGGGGTCTTTGATTTTACCCTATATGCATATAGTAAAAACTTAAAAATTTTCTTTTAAAGAACCCAAAGAGCTAAAGCTAAGATATTTAGCATGAAACATCTTCTAATGAGTGTCTACCAAGTTTGTTCAAATAAAAACCCTAGGGTCAAAATTGGCCCTGCCCCAGGGGGTCATTGATTTTCCCTATATGCATATAGTAAAAACTTTAAAAAATCTTCTTTTAAAGAACCCAAAGAGCTAGAGCTAAGATATTTAGCATGAAACATGTTCTAATGGGTGTCTACCAAGTTTGTTCAAATAAAAGCCCTGGGGTCAAAATTGGCCCCGCCCCAGGGGGTCATAGATTTTACCTATATCTTAAAAAATCATCTTTTAAAGAACTCAAAGAGCTAGAGCTAAGATATTTAGCATGAAACATGTTCTAATGGATTTATACCAAGTTTGTCTAAATGAGAGCCCTGGGGTCAAAATTGACCCCGCCCCGGGGGTCATTGATTTTCCTTATATATGCACAGTATAGCAAAAACTTAAAAAATCTTTTTTGAAAAAAACCAAATAGCTAGAGTTTAGATACTAAGCATGATACATCTTCTAGTGAGTGTCTACCAAGTTTGTTCAAATAAAAGCCCTGGGGTCAAAATTGGCCCCGCCCCGGGGGTCATTCATTTTCCTTATATGTGTATAACAAAAACTTAAAAAATCTTCTTTGAAAAAACTCAAATAGCTAGAGTTTAGATATTAAGCACAAAGCATCTTCAAGTGAGTGTCTTCAAAGTTTGTTCAAATAAAAGACCTGGGGTCAAAATTGGCTGGCCCCGGGGGACATTGATTTTCCTTAAATGTGTATAGCAAAAACTTAAAAAAATCTTCTTTGAAAAAACCCGAATAGCTAGAGTTTAGATATTAAGCATGAGACAATTTATAGTAAGTGTCTACAAAGATTGTTCAAATAAAAGCACTGGGGTCAAAACTGGTCCTGCCCCAGGTGTGTCATTTTTTAACTATATGTGTAAAGAAAAAACTTGAAAAAATCTTCTTTTAAAAAACCCAAGGAGCTACACCTTAGATGTTAAGCATGAAACATATTCTAATGGGTGTCTACCAAGTTTGTTCAAATAAAAGCCCTGGAGTTTAAACTTGCCCCGTTCCGGGGGCCTATATACAGGTGAGCGACTTCAGGGCCATCATGGCCCTCTTGTTTTTACTTTTTGCCATGCAGTTGGCTCTTGAGGTGATTTTGAGTTGATTGAGTCAAGGTCACTAAGTCTAAAAATAGATTTTACTTATTTTTCCTCTGAGAAATGGATTTAAGCTGCGTCAAAACAATATCAGGGAATCCTTATCACTCAATATTGCTGTATCATTTACATTATAATATATATGTATATATATATATATATATATATATATATATATATATATATATATTTCAAAAAAAATTAATGCATTACTTATCAAGATATAAGTAAGGGTGATATAACAAAAGAAGTTTTATGCCTTAGATATTATAACCATTCTTTGGCACCTACTTAATGTAAGGGATACCTTTTGAGAACATCATGTGAGCATGTGAGAAGTACAGCTTGTTCCTGGTCAAAGTGTCAAGTGTTGTACAAGACAGCCTACCATAGTTGCCATTTTAAAAAAAAAAATTTGATAACTTTGTAGTGAAGAATTCACCAACATCGTAGCAGGCCAAGTCTGTGCGATCATTTTATTGATAGACTGATGTAAAAAGTTCATATTCTTGTAATAGTTTGTGTTTTATATGGGCCGCTATATCAGACATTTGTATTTTTATATTTTACAGATTTCATTAAATGGATTGGAGATTCTTTGCCTTATGATAGATAGAATGGGAGAAGAGTTTAAACCCCATGTTACTACAGGTATAACAGTCAGTTACATAAAAAAAGACATTTCAATATTTAAAACTGATGGTTATAGTAAATTACGGTCTCCATCAAATGTGTTGAAAATAAAGCAATTTAGACAACTTAAAAGATAAAATTGTCCTATGACATCATAGTAATGTCACGTAATTGAGTGATATTGAATGAAGATTTTAGTAATACATCACAGTATGAGGAGAGTTAAAGGAGCTCCACTGAGGTCTAATAGCCTTAAACATAAAATTTGAAATTCTTACATGGATCAACTTGGGAATTTAAAACTGAAAAATGTGAAAAGGTAATAGAGATAGTCAAATATACTAGTTGTCTAAGTATATGCTAGGAATTCGATTGGAATTTGATGTATTAAGTGCAGGCCCTAGCAAGATTTGAGTCAAAAGTGTATAACCCTTTTCATTTCTTAGGTCATTTCGCTAAATAAAATGATAATTCTGAAAAAAATTGGAGTGAATGAATTAAAATGATTATTCTGAAAAAATTGGAGTGAATGAATGATCGGAAATTTTACATAGGAGTTAATTTGATAGACCTACATTAAATGGTGTAAAATCTGGAAATATTAATTCCAGTCGCATCATGTCTTAAAATGTCAGTTGTGTCTCTTTCATGCACCAAGTGAACACAGCAACGCTAAGCTATTCATGTGAATAAATATATCCTGCATTTTGATGAAAATAGTTCATCTCAGTTAGATAAGAGAATTTTTTATTTTCATTTGAACTTAAATCTATAAGCTGCCTGTTTCCAGATTCATGCTAATTTTCATGAAATTTTTTAAAATTTATCAAAAAGTAAAATATTGTCTAGTGAGCAAAGAATGAAATTTACAAATTGCAGCACTTGAAATCTGCATATGTTACTAAAAAATGGGAAAGAATATGCAAAAAATAGCCCTGACTCTGTTAGTTACACAGTAGAACTGTGGCAGTACATATAAATCTGTGAAATCAGTCATTAATTGAATTAACATGATTATAAATTATTTCTTGAACTGTGAATAATTTTACTTCTCTTAAAATTAAAAAAAAAAATTCTCTTGGTTGATTTTCTTGAAATATTTTGGCTCATTTTGAGGCAGGGAGCTTTAAAAAGATATAATCTAATGTAACTAAAGTTATTCATTTGACCAAAAATACTTGGTTTATAGTATTGGAATGATAATAATTGTGTCATTTCTCTGTTTTTTTCCATAGTTTTGACAGCATGTATTGATAGGCTTGGTGACTCCAAAGAGCAAGTGAGTATTCTTGATCCATGCTAAACTTTAGTAGAGGAACTTTAATATTTTGATAAAATTTGAAATTAGAGCATTCACCACTGACAAAACTATAAATACACACAGATGCTCAAGTCCAGTTAAAATTCCTTCATGCCTACATTAGTGAATTCAGGAGCATTTGGACATTTATGTTTTTTTTATGTTCAGATGAACTGTGACAATAATAATAAAAACCAAAATGAAGATTGTCCATTGTTACACTCTCTGTTAATGTGCTAGTGCAATGTCATTTGACAGTTACGTTTTGCTAATACATATCATACTACCAGGGCAGTCAATGCATAAATCTGTGTTAGTGTTTTTACATTGCTCACTGAGTTGTGCATATTATAAACAAGCAACACCAGCACATGGTCATGTGTTTCTATCTGTTAATGCAGGTCTTCTTCTCTGTTTATGTATACCTGCATGCATTATTTTTGTATGCAAGAATATGTGTGAAATCATCTTGTTTTTGGAACAAGACTGTATTGCATTCTATATGTTGTAGGTGCGAGAACAAGCCCAACAGTTACTGTTGAAACTCATGATGCCAGCATCAACCCCACAGGTAAATTTTATAGAGTATAACTGGTAACCACTTAATTTGCTAATCTGGAAACAACTTAATTTGCTAATCTGGAAACAAAAATAAGTTAGTGGCTTAACATCTATCCAAGAAAAAGTTTAAAAAAAACCCAAAAAACTTCTAAATTTAACTGGTACATCTTTAACTTCAAGTTCAAAACAGTCAATTCTGAGTTGGTGAGTTAATACTAATTTGTTTTTGTTCAATTGTGTTGGAAGCTAGAAGCTTATTGAAACACTCTTGAATCAGTTTGAACCCACACGACCAGCAATCCTTAGAAGGATAAAAATGAACAACTAACAAGAATAGTTTTACTTTTGTAAAATATAGCATATAATTTCTTATTCTGATTGACGGGCAGCAATGTATTTTTTTTTACCTCTACATATAAACATTAGATAATTTTGAGTTCATTCTAAGTGGTATGTAGTGAAAACTAGAAGCTTATTTGAATCACCTCCAAGTTTATTTCCTGAAACTTGCTAGTACTGGTGACTTATGGGGGAATATGGTTGTCACCCTAGGAGGGTTTGAACCCACAATTACAGGGTTGAGAAGCAGACACATTAACCTCAGACTGTTCCATAGCTACCTGTTTTGTTTGTTTTCAAACATTCAAGACAACAGGCCTCTATGGTCGGATGGTTAAGTTTGCCGACTTGAAATCACTTTCCCCTCACAAATGTGGACATGAACTTGTGATTCTTTTATATAAAGAAAGCTATCCAGCCTGCTTATGGAAGTTGGTGGTTCTACTTAGCTGTCTGCTTGTGATTAAATTAATACACAAAAGGGGTACCTGTAGTATTCTAAATAAGTAAAGCGTAGAAAGTCACCTTTTGTCCCTTACAATGTTGATATGACTTAAAATTCCACAAAACAAACAAATATAGCATAATTATGATTAAATGTATATTTCTCCGCATTAGAGTTGTATATATTGTACACTGTGATATAACAATGTGCTTAAATATTGCAATCTATGTATAATTTTGTATAATAAATGTTTTCAGTATGTGTTTGAGAGGATAATGGGGACATTTAACCACAAACTGTTTCATGTCAGAGAAGGTGTATTGCTTTGTTTACAGAATACAATCAATAGGTAAGATGTTTGATCCTCATGGGTATCATTCTGCATGGCATTACATAATTCCTGACCCAATTTCAACATGAACTAAACATCTTCAACATTTTCTTAATGCATAAATGTGTCTAATTCTATTTAACATATTAGTAGATTACAATAATAATTTCACAACAAAATATTTGTGAACAGAACAGCATAATTATGTCAATGTTTGTGGTTAAATCTATTGTTACTAAAATAAAAGGTCAAGATAGGGGTCTATAAATTTCTGTGCACTACTATTTAAAAATGTGGGTTCGTATCAAGTCAGGAACTTAGGATTTTTTTTGTAAGATGGAGCTATACTGGGAATTTCAGGAAGGTTGATGGCTATACTAGGCTCATGCTTGAAAAATGTTCAGAGGAGATTCTAAGGTCTCTCTTAACAGTAGAGCTTGAAAGTCAGCATAAAGTGTGACCTTCACTGTATACTTGCTATTTCAACGTCACCAAAAATAAAAAATGTGTTATATATTAGTGAATTGATTTGAGTCTTGAGCTTGCTATATAAAGTTACTTGGAGAGATTTCATCATCAAAATACTTTCATTCAATTGATAACTTTACAGAATTTTGTCACATGTAGACATCACGGACTTGCTGTACGTATTGTTTGCAATGTTGTTCAAATGTGTCGTAAATGTTTTTATGGTATATGAGAAAGAACATCAAGTTTGTAATGCTTTTTCAAAAATAGTTATGGATTTCTTGCAATGACTTCAGCATAATTTATTTCATTGATTTTATCACTACTAGGTTAATGTTTATGTATATGTTTTAATTCTAGGGTAGTATACAGCAAAGCAGTGCCAACAGATGAAAATTAGTTTGCTACTCGAATATTGTCCCTTGGGATGCCAATTCTATAGGGCTAATTATCTCTTTGCAAATCATCTCTATTGTGTATTATGTATCATCAATACTCATAATAATGTAGATAATTCTATTGAGGTGCAAGAAAAGAATAAGTTTTTAGAGCTCCAGAGATGAAATGTCTAAAATTAAAATTTGAACTTTACTTGTTTCTCATACCCACACTGAAAAACCTGCAAACTTATGACCCGTCCTCATTGTACTTGTAATAATACAAACATTTAAAAAAATAGAGGATATTAAATGTGTGTAAATTCAATACTGAATTTATTGTACTGGTTGTATAAAATTGTATATTATGTGAGCCTATGGTAAGCATAATATTATTTCTTTCAACTAGTTCAATAGATCAAGTCATGAATTTACAGAAATATAAAGTTCCAATTATCGCATAACCAACATAAGAACAGTTTACAGTGAAAATTATGCTTTTTTGTTAATGACAAGCCTATGGTATAACGCTAACATTGAGCGCTTCTTGTCAACCATGTTTGTATAAAGCAAATGATGTCACATAAAAAAATATGCAAGACCATGCAATACCATATTAACAGAGTCCCACAGTTTGTGACAAGAAGATATTAATAGGGAGTCAATTAAAGTATTAATTATCATGCCATAAAACTGTATTTACAAAGCTTTTAATTTTTCGTACAGGTATGGGGCAAGATGTTTACAATTGTCAAAAATTGTGCCGTCAATCTGTAAACTCCTTGAGGATCAGACACCACAGGTTTGTTTTCTTTTAAGTGAAGAACATTTATTTCATACACAATATCTTATTTCAACCATTCAAATTCTGGGGCTATCCCTCTCAACCCTTTGACAGCATCACACTTTTTGTTAAGTTTTACAACTTTTTGTACAACTTTTTACCTTAATAAGATAGAAATGAAGAAATGTCAACATCTCTGCAGGTTGAGTATTTTTTAACCTTAACAGCTGTAAAGATATTTGTATGTAACTTCACACACTTATTTGTGATCATAATAGGATTCCACTGTAAAAGGCCCGTAACTGAAGAATGGATTTAGACAGAATAATGACTCTTATAGAACTTAGAAAATTATTGCTTAAAAAAAAAGCTTCACATGCATCAACAAACAAACCTAAGGTATTCACTTGAATCTTTGAATGTTTTTGGCAGCTTAAATGCATATCACTGTCTAAGTCTTATTACAGTGATAAAGCTTTTGACTGAATTATAGCGCTTTGTGAATAAGAGAAAAATTTATGGCTTAAATTTTACATGAAATATTAGTCTTAAAATGACGACCTGTAGGTATTAATTTGAAATTTAACACGTTTTTGGCAGCAAAATTGGAGGTCATTAACCAATGTCCATAATTCTGACATAGTTTATGACTGAATTACGCCCTTTGTATATTTAGAAAAAAAAATTGTTTTAAGTTTTGCATTCAAAACAACTAAAGTAATTCACGTGAAACTTGATATAAAATATGCATGTCTAGGTGGTCCCTATTGGAGGTCACTGTCTAAGGCCCATTGATCTTGACTAAATTTTAACCCTTTATAAACTTAAGCCTTTTTGGGCTTAAGTTTTGAGTGTAACATTAATCTTCCAAGTTAAAAATGAAACAAAAACCAACTACTGATTGTAATTTGAAAAAACTGCTTTTGACTTTGTTCATTACTATTGTGTCTCATAATTTTATATTCAGGTGCGTGAGGCAGCTTTGAATACATTAGCAGAGATATACAGACACGTTGGTGAGAAAGTACGAAATGATCTTACAAAGCGATCAAGTATTGCTCCACAGAGGTATTTTCTTCAATCTCAAATCTTAAGTTGTTAATTTAAAATATCACGTTGATTAACCAGTTGAAAATATCCCATCACAGAGAGTTTAGTACATACAAGAAATGAAACTTTAAAGAGGACATACACTGTATAAGTTGTTAAGTTAGCGACACAGAAATATTTGCAAATATCAGGAATTGATGAAAATCTTAAAAAGTTTCTCTAGTTTGGATATTAACCAACCAGTCATTAATTTCTACCCTTGCACAATTTGCTAATACTTCCGGAAGCGAAATGTCTGGGATTTTAAAATTGTAACTTTTTGACACATGGAAATATTCACTTATAGTTATACCATAGTCACATGCTATCTTATGGGCTGATGGTTGTTGGCCTAATTTGTTTGAATGATATACATGTTGCCTAATGTTAAGACATGCTCAATATATGACCATATAAAAATTAATTCACAAGTGTTTCTGGTGGCATTGAAGTGTGCATATGCTAAATTGTCATGCAATTTACAGTTGCCAGATTTATAGGCCAATGTCTAGACATAGGACACATTGTAATTTTAGCGTTATCATTATGGATGTAAACAAGATGCATTACTTACTGATGTCTGGTGCCCATTGGAAATTAAGAAAGAAATTTTACACTACAGACTGCTCTTTACTTGCCCTACGGAAATTAAGAAATAAATTTTACACTGCAGACTGCTCTTTACTTGCCCTACAGAAATTAAGAAATAATTTTACACTGCAGACTGTTCTTTACTTACCCTATGGAAATTAAGAAATAAATTTTACACTGCAGACTGCTCTTTACTTGCCCTACGGAAATTAAGAAAGAAATTTTACACTGCAGACTGCTCTTTACTTGCCCTACGGAAATTAAGAAAGAAATTTTACACTGCAGGCTGCTCTTCACTTGCCCTACGGAAATTCAGAAATAAATTTTACACTACAGGCTGCTCTTTACTTGCCCTACGGAAATTCAGAAATAAATTTTACACTACAGACTGCTCTGTACTTGCCCTACGGAAATTCAGAAATAAATTTTACACTACAGGCTGCTCTGTACTTGCCCTACTGAAATTCAGAAATAAATTTTACACTACAGGCTGCTCTTTACTTGCCCTACGGAAATTCAGAAATAAATTTTACACTACAGGCTGCTCTTTACTTGCCCTACGGAAATTCAGAAATAAATTTTACACTACAGGCTGCTCTTTACTTGCCCTACGGAAAATCAGAAATAAATTTTACACTACAGACTGCTCTTTACTTGCCCTACGGAAATTCATAAATAAATTTTACACTACAGGCTGCTCTGTACTTGCCCAACGAAATTTCAAAAATATATTTTATACTACAGACTGCTCTGTACTTGCTGTACGGAATTCAGAATACACTTTACACTACAGACTGCTCTGTACTTGCTGTACAGAAATTTAGAAATACATTTTACACTGCAGATAGCTCTTTACTTGCCCTACGGAAATTCAGAAATACATTTTACTCTACAGACTGCTCTGTACTTGCCGTACAGAAATTCAGAAATACATTTTACACTGCAGACTGCAATGTGCTTACCGTATGGAAATACAGATATACATGTTTTACTGTGAAATTGCTCTGTGTTTTCATATTGAAATTCTCATTGACTAGATAATTCATACATTATCCTATAATCTAGCTATCTTTTTCCCTCCAAACACTTTTCTCCTTCTGTCTGAAATCTAGTGACTGTCAAAACAGTGGACTGTGTGTCTAATGGTCACATTTCTTGTACTTAGTTACATTTCACCTGTGAAGGAAAAGTGATATGTTTCATGGGAGAAAATTAAATATTATTCTTTTTTTTCTGCAAATTTCAGATTAAATCAAGTTTATGCCAAATTTGATGAAGTTAAGACGTCAGGAAACATGTTGGCCACAGCAGACCTTGGTGAGTTCAAAATTTACCAAATCTTTTTATGTTTTTGACAGTAATCCACAATCAATAAAAACAAATGCATTTAATTTTCTGATTTTGTCTTGAGAGCCACACAGGTAGTGTTTCTACCAGTCCTCGTGAATGGGAGGTCACATGTACATTGTGTGTACAGCTTCAAGATAAGAAATAATGGAAGAAGATGCTAAAATCCAGTACACTCACAGGCATCTTACTAATTAGAGGAGTGGAGTGATAGACAATGATGTTTATTTAACACAATGATAATTTTTAATGGCTCATGTCTTGAAGGAGGCATTTTAAGATTGACTTTAACTTATATGGGAGATGTGAAACTTGTTCATTTTCCCTAACAGTCTCCTGTGTAACAAAACAACAACATATTATTTGTGGTTTTTCCTTTCCTTACACTGTCCAGTATTAAAAATGCCATGCTCTCTGTCTTGTTGTTGAATGAACTGTATATATGGGTTTTTTTGTTGGGGGGGGGGGGGGTATAAAAATGAAAACTGGTCAACAGGTATTGGGACTGCTGTACTTGATACAATAACATTGTTTGAAGTGGAATGAGTTAACCACCTGAATATGTGTAATGTATTTACCCTGCTTTGAATTCATTTGAAAGTTAAGGGATGTCAAAAACAAAGTGCAAAAATTGATCTGACAGCAGTATAAAGCCTTGTAAGACTGTACGGATATTGAAATTGTTGAAAGCTATTGCCTTCCTTTAAGAAAGTTGGCCTCTAATAGGAAACTTTTTTTTTTTTTTTACAAAAATTAAAAAGGAAAATTTAAATTTGTGCACAGAAATTTCACATAGTTTGGCATGATGAATGTTGTCTGAAGAAAATATTTCACAGTTTTAAATGTCAATGTCATAACAATAAAGAAAGTCAGATATGAGGCTATAGGCTAGTTATTATGGTTTCAAGATATATGTTTTAACAAGATAGCATATGAATTGATTATTTTGTGAAAGTAATTCATCTTATAATTGAAGAAAAAAAAGAGGTTGTAAGTTCAAATATTCAGTCTTATACGATAATAAATAAATGTTCAGTTGTTCACAGCTTTCAGTCAATGACTTTTTCTGATGTTCTGGAAATCATACAATAATATAAGACATGGTTTTTGACCAGACAATCTGTTAGTCATCTTTTTCATTTATTTCTATTCTGTAACTTTCAAGTGGTTTGTTTGTTTGAGATTTCATGTTGTTTTTCTACATGGTTATTTTCTCATTGAGCCTTAAAAGAAACATAGGGTGTTTACCAGTTCCTTCTGAGAAGAACATAAACTATGCAGCCCATCTTTTTTTTATTTGTGAAACTGGATAACTGAATGTGAAAAACTTGTATTTTCTGTATTTTATTTTATGTCATATTCTTTGGACACATGCTAGAGTTGTACACAATAATTATTTTTTCCACACTTAAACTTTTTATCTCTTTTTAAGATACTTAATTTTATAACCAATTCTAACAAGACCCGCATTTTTCCCTATTGAACATAGAAGAACAGAAAGTGTGTGTTATTATGCAACAGATGCACAGTTTGACGTTCTATATTTAGACATGTGACATAATCATTATACACGTGACGTAACCACTAAAAATCTGACGCGCTTAAAATAAGTTCGAAACAAATCAGGCGCAATTTTGCTTAACCATCAAGTACCGCAACATTTATTTGTTAATGTTGTGTTAGAATCTAAATAATATATCCAAATCAGTGATTTTATCGATTGATAACATCACTGTTTGTCGTTTTGGATGCGCATTATTATATCACTGACTCGGGCTACAAAATATTTTTTAAAAATCATCATAATTTGAGTAAGTTCATTTTCATGAAAATTTGCTTCTTTGGAATTGAGTTATGTTCCCTTTAATGGCAGTCTAGATAAATTTGTGATCTCTGTAAGGCCAGTGATTTTTCTCACTTAATTGGGAAGAGGCCTTAGACTCTTGATTTTGGGAAAAAAATATCGCTAAAATTGCTTATTTGGGAAGAAAAAAGCAGGTTTAAGTTCAGGTTTTTGGGAAAACTGCATGATTTTAAAGAAAATTTCAATTGGGAAGAGGCCTTTTTTCGGAGTCTGTTATAAAATGTTTGAAGGAAAACATTAGCACTTCACATTGAGGGTGAAATCGTTTGTATGGACTATCAGTTATTCATGCGGTTTCATAGCAAATATGAAAAAAAATTCCCAGGTAACATTCTTTGTAAGGCTTCCTCACTAGAAAAAAAATTGAAATAAAAAAAAAATATGGCAGAAAATAAAACCTGTACCATCTTTTGTATTGATTTTCTGCCTCACAAATATCAGGAAGTCACATCTATCCAGCTAGCATTATGTAATGTCCGTAATGTCCGTGGTTCTACTCTGGTACCTGTTTGTGCTTGAAATTATGTAAGACGGAGGAAACTGAGGTCTTCCTCTATGAGGGAAACTGTAAAGTTGCCATATGACCTGTACTGTATTTAAACTAAGCAAAAACAGAGAAGAAGTCACATGCTATAGGTACTATGCAATGAATATTTTTGTTAATTTTCGCTAAAAATGTTGAAGATTTTGTCCAGATTGATATATGATCGAATCATTTTCAGATCTTTTGCTTGGTCAAGGTTAAATGCCTTATTAGAATCTATACTTTGTAATTGGAGAATGAGATAAGGGAAGAAGTAGATAAAGGTTGAAAAGGGGATTTATTGATCTATAAGACTTTAAACCTATAACCTGGTATAGTTAGATTAATAAGCCAATGTACTGAATAGTAGCTGTATTTGTATGTGTATAAATATATACTAATGTAAACATGTTTATCATGCCCAGTATTGATAGATGTTTGACATTCTTTGATTACTCTGAAATCAAAAACAAGCTGACTTATGAAAATATTTAAAGAGAGCATAGTTACAGATAGAGGAAATTTAAGAAGAATTAGGTCATTCATTTTTTTTTACTCTTTGAGATTTGTGTAAAAGGCATGTCCTTCTTTCAATTTGAAAGGAAATTGGTAGCGATGATTGCAGAAATAAACTGGTGCCAGGTGGTGAAGGCAAGTTTCTAATGCCCTCTACCATTCAAAAGGCAGTTAACTCTATCCTCTGGTCATAACAGTATGCTATTTATATATCAACTCAATTATTAAGGTTTTAACTCCTTAAATGATTGAATTGCTTCATTGAATTCAAACCACTTGTCCCTCAGTACTATGGTTTCGAATTCCACTTTGGATTCTTTTATATGAGAGAGCTATCCAGCTAGCTCACAAAATGTCTACTAAGGTGCCTGTTTGTGTGGGTAACTAATACCTGCACTCCAGTTAATACTCTGTGCATGTATATGGATACGATTTAACTCAGACACAAATTCAACAGAAAGATCCCCATACTATGATACAATTGAATTTTAGCGACCATGATTGTATTTCCCAATCATTTATTGCAAAAAGTTAGTACAAAAAATGTTTGTATAATTGAAGGAAAACTTGGATTATGTCCAGGCCCAGTTACTGAAAGTATTTCATGGCCATTCTTTAAGTAATAGACCTTTTACAAGCTTTTACAATCTAATTTAAATCTTACAACTAGCATAAAGGATTTTCAAATTGTTATTACCCAAATTTTCATTCTGTACAATGATTTAAGATTGTTAACATAAATTGTCATTAAGAGTGGCACATTAGTGTGACCTGTTTACTAGTAATTTTCTATGTGGAAAAAGTGTCTCTTTTAACCTTGTTTTTCAAATGTTTGCTGTATTGATTGCAGTCCTGTTCCAATATTTGGGTTACCTCCCTTTAGTAATTTTATATATTGAATGTGTACTCTTATGAACTGGGCTTTTTTTTTTTATAAAATAATTTTTCCTTGACTGATTTGACATAGATTTATTCATTGATTGTTTTTTGTTCATAGTTTTAATCATTGATTTTTTTTCCATGAACAAAATTGCCTTTTATACCATGATTTGTTTTTTACATATTTCTTTTCTTGTGTTGAGAAGAACATTGTTGAGAGATGTTATGTGAAAGTTCAGTTTGAAAATTCTTTTGTTTTCATAAGCTGACTAAGCATATATCTTGGACATCAAGAGTTTATGTCAACAAACAAAGTTGTAAATAAGTCTAATTAATATAAGTGTAAATATAGTTATCACCATGTGTTATAATAAATTGTTTTATAATTACAGCCGAGCTTTATCATCTTTATAAATGTTACCTTATAAGGTGGTCAAAGGAAGAAAGACCAAAACATTTTTGTGCTGTTGAACAATTATCATTAGGCCTAATAGGGTATTACAAATGATAAAAGAATTTTCATAACTGACATCCACATGATATTATAGCTCAAGATTAGTAAGGTAAACCTTTGACCTGTTGGAACCTTAAAGTGATTACACACATTTAAATGCCACCAGTATAGAGCCTGGTCAGAATACATGGATGTTTCACAGATTTGGACTGTTGAAAATTTGATATAGGAAAAACCCATTATACAAATTCAGCAAGTTAAGACTGATGAGCTGTGGTGGTGGTCATGGAAATTAAACTTTTTTCAAAACAAATGGACAAAATATGAAATATGGTACATGCATACTATAAAAGCCTGAAAAATGCTCTAATCAGAAAGTATTCTATAATTGAAGCACTATTTTTAAGACCACATCTCAGCAGAACAGCAATGTGAAAAAATACTGAAGTATTTAGACTGCATTTGATGCTTGAATTTTTGTGACAAGATCTTGGATCTCAAGACTGTTTTCTTTAATAATTGTTTCAATGTAAGACCTTTCATTTATATCCTTAAAGGGACTCCACTGATGTCTAAAAGCTTAAAAACATAAAGATTGAATTTCTTACAGAAATAAGTTAAGGCACTTAAAACAGACAAATGTGCAAAGATAGTTAAGAAATATACTTAGAAATAAATTGAAATATATAAAAGAAATATACTTAGAAATAAATTGAAAGTCGTATTTTAGTGCTTTTCTTAGTCCGATTTAGATGAAAAGCGTTGCAACGCTTTTCAATTTTGGG